AATATAACTTATTCCTGTGATGTAAAGCTAAATTTTCAGCATCATTACTCCAGTCTTCAGTGTCACATGATCCTTCAGATATCATTCTAATATGCTGATTTGCTGCTCAAAAACATTTTATTATTATGAATGTAGAAAACTGTTGTGCTTCTTAATATTTTTGTGGAAACTGTGATACATTTTTAGGGTTCTTTGATGAATAGAAAGCTCAAAAGATCAGCATTTATCTGTAATATAAATCTTTTGTAACATTATAAATTACTTCACTGTGACTTGTGATCAAGTTGATGCATCCCTGAATAAAATATACAAAAAAATTTTTACTGACCCCAAACTTTTGAACTGCCGTGAATGTAATAATGATGTAATGTAATATAATAATGACACAAATTATTAGTGGTCATATACACAGTACTGCATCTAAATACGGAATATGATGCAATAAAGCAATCTCATTGGTCCAAAATATCTGTATTTCTCTCTAGTGTGATGAAATCCCCTCCTCCTCTTCAGCACTGTTCAGAGGGCGAGTGGGAAACCATCAGCTCTCATGGCTGTTGGTTCATCACAACTTCTCCACACATGGACTCAACCCTCATATAGCCCTTACTGTGACCTATGACCCTGGAGATAACAATGTAAAGGTCACTCTACGCCAAAACAGGCCTGAAAATTCCCTCCATGCCATCGGCTTTCATATTTATAAGGTCAGGAATGATACATACCTTATTAATAATCAGTTTTGAAGCATCTACTGTATATGACTAAACTGGTGAAAAAAGTGTCCTGTTCTAGTCATAATTGTTCTGGTTACAGTATTTGTTATAATAGGTGTAGGTGTCTAACATTCAAGAGTGAATCTTTTTTCATATGCCTTCATGATATTTAAATGTGTGTGTCTATAGGTACCTGATAGTGACTCCCTGTTAACCCCTTGTGCCATGTCTCCAGTGGTTAGTTGTGTACCTCATGCCCACTCCCAGGCAGTCAGTGTGTTTTGCCGTCTGCAGCTGGGTGAGTGTGTCGTAATTCCTTCGACCTACCAGCTGTCACAAAGCAAGGCCAGACACAACAGATAAGTGCAAAACAGGATGGTTTATTGACTTGGTAAGTGGAAGACTGGAATGGGTGAGTTAAAGGCAGGTGAATGTCAACACAGTGAATGGTTCCAGGGTGCTTATCTGAGTTCTGATGGAGAGGATCGTATGCCGGTTACGTTGGAGATCGTGGAGCCGTTTCCACGGAGTCGTTGGAGGATCGTGGGAGGAACAGCAGGTAACCGTAATTCGTTCTAGGAGATTTTGGCAGAGAGAGTCCAGAGTAGTTCATAGGAGTGAACGGTAGACCGGACAGTGAGTGGCTGTGCTGTGTGTGTATTTGTAGTGTGGCTTGATTGGTGACAGCAGGTGCGGGTGATCAGAACTCAGGTGACTGTGATCGGGTAATTATCCTGGATGGTGACTGAAGTGACTGTGATGACTCCCTGACACCAGCCAGAACTCAGCGCTCACTTCATACTGACTTTTACACGCAGGATAAATCGGTAAGCACTCCACCTACACTCTATTCATCTGTCCTATTACAAGGAAAATCTGGAAATATCAGTGAAAAATGTATTAAAGTCATAGAGATTAATAAAATCTTATGTATTTAGATATTCTTTAGAAAACTGTAATTACAATTTAACTGGTCAATGCACTGTGATTTAAAAAAAAAAAAAAAAAAGCTCAGATTAAAACAGGTAAAATGTACTTTCATGTTAAGACATTGCTGCTGGTTGACATTGAAATCTTTGGCTCTAGTACTAATGTTGTCAACTTCCTCAGGAAAGCAATGCACGGTTGAGAGCTTCTGGTCCATGTTGTTCAGGAGGTAATGATCTTTCTCCTCTTTTTAAGAAATAGTTTGCCCAAAATCAAATTCTGTCATGATCTACTCAATCTCATGTTGTTTCAAACATGCATGGCTTTCTTTCTTCTGTGAAACACAGAAGATATTTAAGAATATTGGTAACTAGACAGTTTCAGTTCCCATTGACTTCCATTGTATTGTAATACAATGGAAGTCAAAGGGAACCAAAATCATGTTCCACAGAAGAGAGAAAGTCATACAGGTTTAAAATGACATGAATGAGTAAATTAATTTTTGGGTGGTCTATCCATTTAACATTAATTTTGAGATGACAGTAAAGTCATGAACAATATATAGATTAAAAAATAAGGTATTACCAATGATTCTGTCGAAGATATAATATAATCATAAATAACACTAATGAATAAATATTATTTTAAAGTAGGTTTTTACTGTTTTTCATGTCTTTCAGAAAACATTTAGAGTTCCTCAATTTGAAACAAATAAACGTCACTTGGGTTGAAATATAAGATATATATCAAATTTTGTCTATTTTTAATATTACTAAATAAGAATCATATTAATATACATTTATATATATTTTCCAAGGCTTCTAAATAATTATTGCTAATTTGCCTGTACCATTGGTTTTGTAAGATGCTCTTATATCTTTTGCTTTCCTCTCACAGGTCTCCTGTGTCTCTGTGATGAGACGATAGTCTGGGGAAGTGGATCACATACCAATGTTAAGATGAAGGTC